CCATTTCCTCACCTTATCCAGTGCCCTGCCAGACTCTGGCTGCCATGGCAGAAGTGAGAGTGGAGGTGCACTCTTTCACTCCTTTGTATTTTTTCATTAAAAAAACCTATTTCCCTCTATCATCTGGGCTGGTATAATTCAACCCCCTGTTTTCATGTGCACTGGGGGACCAGAAAAGCATCAGTTCTCCACATTTCCTTGAACAGGAATTACCCCCAAAATAAAGAAGTCACACACTCCATGAATCCAGCTTTGACCCACTCAGAACTTTAGCAGCTACAGATGCATTGTATATATATGACATAATGAACACTCACCCGTTTGGTGTAATCCATGGCCTTCAGAATGGAGAGGTTGAGGGTCTCCAGGGAAGCCAGAACATCTTCATAATCTCCCATGTGGTCGGTAAAATAATCTGGACCCCGAGGATATTGCAGAATTAAAGGAAAAGGGAGGAAAAATAAAGGATAACATTTTAATCATACTTGCTTGCCTCAAGGTAAATGTCCAAATTGAAAACTTGCTGTTTCAAAGTGTACTGGCCAGGAAATACTCCAACTTCTAAAAACACTGCACTCCATCATGTTTAGTAGGTGAAAGGGGTTCAAATCATAGAGCTGGGCAGCGGTGACGGGCTTGGAGGAAATGCAATGCTAGTCCCAACAGGTGGTTGTCCAGCCTCTGATTGAAGACCTACTCAAAGGGTTGTTAATAGTTGAAGGCAAGTTCTTACTGTGCTGCTACATTTATTTTTGAGGGATAATTTGCATGACCTTTTCTGTACACCAAGATAGTAGTTGAAGAGATTTTTTGTGTGGCTGGGCCAGAACACCATTAAGCTGAAATGTGCAGAGGAAAGAGGGAGACCACAACCATTTGTCACCCCCTAACACGTTTGCATCATCTCCTGCCTGTGCTTCCTCTCTTTTGACAGCCCCAGATTAGTCCATGTGGACCTGACTCAAGGTGATCCAGGACTGCTGTGACCTAGTCCAGGCAAATCCCAGATCAGCCTGAGTCATGCTGATTTCGTTCAGGACCTGAAATTTGTCTAGACCAAATACACAGCCCTTGAAAATATCTGTAAGTGAAACAATCCAATAAAATAGTCCTATTAGTTGTAGTACCAAACAAGTGGATGGTACTAGGTTTAGGAAGGCAGATCTTGATGTCATGGACTGGCTAGATGCAGAGGAGATGTGGGAGGCACCAGTTAGTGAACCCCTAAGGAAAACCCCAGGGAAAGAAGGCTCAGAGTGAGGGGATTGGTGGTGGGATGACAGGAGAAGAGGAAGGAGGTGTGGTGGAAGCTGAAGTGATAACAGGGTTTAGTGAGCAGGGAGAGTCTGTGGCAGAGGGCAGTTCAGAGCCAGAAGCAGAGGCTTGTGAGGAGGGGAGCCAAGAGACTGATATGAGTTAGGCTGGTGAAGAAACCAGGATGTCTACCCCTCCTGCTGTGACCAGTTCCCCTCCCTGCCCCGGTCTCCCAGGACCAGAAGAGGTATGAAGAGGGAGGAGCAGAGACAGACATGGCGATGGAGTCTTAGATTGCTTGGGAAGTACCCAGGGGAGGTGGGGACCTTCAGCCCCCACAACTGCCTCAAAGGGGCAAGATCTACCGGGGTGTGTTGCTGTACTCACTAGGCGTGGCCTCCTGAGCTGACCATATTTCCTTGAATAAAGAGTTAATTTCATTGACACAGTGTGATTTATTGCTGACCTGCCTCTGATTCCCGCTCCTGACACTTAGCTATGAACCTCCACCCACAGATCTAGATTTAACTAAGTTTTCCGTCTTTATTTTTTTTTAAAGTGCAGCAATTGGTGCTACCATAATCTCTATTAGAAAAGAAGCAGCAATTCATATTGAATTGACATTTCTTACAGAACTCTCCTATAAATAACCTCAAAAGACAGTCCATTAATTAGCTTCCCTTGGCTTAATTAAAATGCCATATATCTCTCTGAACAGCATGCAGGATGAAGGGAGCGATAGCAACTGCTGGAAGAGCAGTGAGGAGTCCTCCTTCCACTGTGATCCACAGCGGCTTGAGCCTGATTTAAAAAAACCCAGCCACCTAATTTCCAGCAGCTGCAGATATTTCCTCACCATACAAGGGAGTGAAAAATAAATAAATAAATCACTTTGCAGAGTTGGCTTTTAGAAGTGAGGAATGGAAGAAGTAAATCCTTTTCTGGAGATGATAAAGCAAAACTTGTCACACAGTCCATAAAACATGAGCAGGAGAAAAATACGATTGCGATTTTGGGAAGGGCTGGCACTGAAAAGCTGCACATGTAAAACAGGATTAAATTGTAATTTTGATTAAAAAGCCTTTGCAAACACAAGAGAGAGATTTCACCTGGACCAACAGGAGATTTGAGGCACTTGCAAATACCTGCTGAGGGTAAGCCTAACGCAAGCCTGCTTGCTGGACGCTAGAAGGTTGGTTTATTTATGCCGTGGCCTTTCAACTGAGAGATTCTCAAGATGACTTAGAAGAGGTTGCAATAGTTAGGGGGGCCACCAATGTGACACATGTAGGCACAGTGTTGCCCTTGAAGTCTTCACCCAGCAGCAACAAAGCCTCTCCGCTCCCGTCCCATTCAGGGGCCTCTTAGAGCTGAAGGAGGAAGTTGGAAGAGTGATGCTAAGAGAACATGCACAGAAGTGTGCATTCTAGACAGGGATGGGCAAATCCCTGAATTCTCTCTCTCTCTTTCTCATTTCCTCATTTCTCCAGTCTTAAGTTCAGTTCTCCACATTTCCATGTCAGCGTATCTTTTTATTTTAAAAAGTCCTTATGAAAATGAATCAGCATGTTAGTGTGGATTTCACTAATCTACGCATTTATATCTCTGCTTACCATATGAATTTTTGCACATATTCCTCAGTGAGAGAAGTGCATTGCAAAATTTGGGAGGATTGCAGACGGTGTCTGCGTTTCAGTTTGTGCATTGTTTCATGGAATGCAATTAGGCAGCTTCATCTTTAAATGAGAACTTAATCTAACTCCTTTTCCATCCCTAGCTGGAAAACAACAGCTGAACAGGGGTTACGTGTGTTGAGATATTGGTAAGACGAGTTTAATCCTGAGTGGGCTATGTGATCCCTAGGTCACTGTAGGTACAATTACTATCAAGTGCAGGTAAGCATTTGCCAGATGTTTCTGTTGTGCCTTTGGGCCAAGAGTTTATTTTTAGCAAAGTACATAAACATCTGAAGATAAAATATGTATCCACTACCTCTCTCAACTTGATCTCAATCTCGATGTCCTAGTTAAGAGAATTGTCTAGCAACATTAATTTCCCCATTTCTGTTTCCTACCTCGGTGTAACAGTCTGAGAAGTACAATCTAATCTACTTGTGACTTGGGGGTTGGGGTTCGACAAGCACTCTGTCTGTTGACCGAAAGCCTCCATGTGTCACAAAGACAAGCAGGCCAGCCTCACCCCTGAGATGTGAGTCTTACATGGCCCCCATTCATACAATCAACCAACTTATGAAAGGGCTGTGTGTGAATGGAATTGACTAATGGGGTGCCCAAAGGGTTCAGCAACCTGGCCCAACAAGTTCTGCTATTGTATATTCTCTATGCGTTGTGCATAGAGCCCTTTCAAAGCCTGGGGAAATAGCATTCCAGTCACATATACAGTGGTACCTCGGGTTAAGTACTTAATTCGTTCCGGAGGTCCGTTCTTAACCTGAAACTGTTCTTAACCTGAAGCACCACTTTAGCTAATGGGGTCTCCTGCTGCCGCCGCACCGCCGCTGCACAATTTCTGTTCTCATCCTGAAGCAAAGTTCTTAACCCAAGGTACTATTTCTGGGTTAGCGGAGTCTGTAACCTGAAGCGTATGTAACCCGAGGCACTACTGTACTTTTTATGAGTGTGGAACTCACCAGAACGCATTTTCCCTCTTTTCTCAGATATAAGGAGAGGCTTCAGCAAGACGTTAAATCCCTGGCATTTCAAGGTAGAACTGGGAAGGACACCTGTCAGAAATCATGGAGAGCCACTGCTGTTCAATGTAGGGCAGGGACAGGGAACCTTCAGCCTGTAGGCCAATCTCAGACCACAGAGGGGGTCAAAATTGGCCTGTGAGGCTATTTCTCAAAAAACATGCCCACCTGCCAATCAACTAGTGTCACTTTGATGAGGGGTACAGACATTCTTCATTGGCTGAATGTCAGCAGGATTTAATCCCTGCTCATCAGCTAATGAGCAGGGGTTCAATTCTACAAAGTCACAAGGCCAGAGAGGGCTCTTATTATTGGATTCATGCCAAGATCCAGAGAAATTCCTTCTCAAGAACAGGATGACACAATCTGGAACAAACTATGTGAACATACAGAACTGCTGCCATAGGCTGGGAACAGGAACACACAGCTAAAGCCACACACAGGGCTGCTTGAAAGCCATTTTGAAAGCAGCCCTGTGCTACTCTTTGAAGCTCACTTTTGGAGGTTTAAAGAGCAGTGCAGGGCTGCTTGCAAAAGGGCTTTCAAACAGCTCATATTGTGCTTTGAAATCCCAGCAATCATGGCTTCAGAGCACAGCAGCACCTGATGTCATAGTGATGTCACATTTGGCCTGGAGGGGTCAGGAGATAATGGTCTGGTTTGCCTACTAGGAATGATTCCCCATGCCAGATTTAGGCAAGACAGTGGAACTTCGCATGTCAAACATAAGCCATTCTGAAAGGACGTTTGACTTCCAAAATGTTCGAATTCCAATTGGCTGACAGCTAGGCTTTTTGCAGATTGGAAGCCACGTTGGACGTTCAGGTTCCGAGGAATGTTCGAAAACCGAAACACTTACTTCTGGGTTTTTGACGTTTGGAGTTGAAACATTCGGGAATGGGGCGGTTTGAGAACCAAGGTTCCACTGTACTGAGCTAGGCGAAGCACTGGTCTGCCTACCTTATATGGATAAGGCAATTATATATATTTTATTTTTGTCTGGATGAAAACTCAGACACCACAACTGGGGTTGCCTGGATAGGTAGCTCAGTGGTGGAGTATCTGCTTTGCATGTAGAAAGTCCCAGGTTTAATCCCCGGGATTGTCCCGTTAGTGTGGACAACAGTGAGCTAGATAGACAGATGGTTTGATTCAGGATAAGGCAGCTTCCTGTGTTCATTTAGGGCTGAAGTGCTGCTGCTACTGCTGCTGTGCATGTGGGGACACTCTCCTATAGCAGCCCACTTTCTTTTCACTTACCATCAACTAACAAGGATAAAATGTGTGGCCTTGTCTTTGCTGGAGGTACTTGGACAGGGTCTGATCAGCACTGCTGTTAGAAGAAGAGGAGTTTGGATTTGATATCCTGCTTTATCACTACCCTAAGGAGTCTCAAAGCGGCTAACATTCTCCTTTCCCTTCCTCCCCCACAACAAACACTCTGTGAGGTGAGTGGGGCTGAGAGACTTCAAAGAAGTGTGCCTGGCCCAAGGTCACCCAGCAGCTGCATGTGGAGGAGCGGAGACGCAAACCCGGTTCACCAGATTACGAGACTACCACTCTTAACCACTACATCAAACTGGCTCTGCATGCAAAATGTGCTCTGCATGCAAAAGACGCGGGTGGCGCTGTGGGTTAAACCACAGAGCCTAGGATTTGCCGATCAGAAGGTCGGCGGTTCGAATCCCCACGATGTGGTGAGCTCCCGTTGCTCAGTCCCTGCTCCTGCTAACCTAGCAGTTCGAAAGCACCTCAAAGTGCAAGTAGATAAATAGGTACCACTCCAGCGGGAAGGTAAACTGCATTTCCGTGTGCTGCTCTGGTTCACCAGAAGCACCTTAGTCATGTTGGCCACATGACCCAGAAGCTGTACGCCGGCTCCCTCGGCCAATAAAGCGAGATGAGCGCCGCAACCCCAGAGTCGGCCACGAATGGACCTAATGGTCAGGGGTCCCTTTACCTTTACATAAAAGATCCCAGGCTGGGGGAAGCCCCTATCTGAAATTTGGGGACAATTCAGAGCAACATAGAACGATGGTCTGATTCCATGTAAGGCTGCTTCCTGTGATTGATTTTAAATAAGAAGGTCTCTTTTTAGGCATGGGGTGTAACTCAGCAGTAGAGGACACACTTTGCGAGTACGAGGTTCCAAATTCAATGTCTGGCCTCTCTAGGTACGGCTGGGAAGGACAACTGTCTGAAATGCTGGAGATGCTGCCAATATGTCAGTGAAATACTGAGCCAGATGGATCAATGGTCTTGCTCACTTTCCAATTCTTATTCTTATTAAATATGTACACCACCCTATACTATAGATCTCAGGGCCATTGACTACATACCTAAAAATGTTCCTACGGAACACAGGCATGCCAATGCTGTTATAACCAACAAAGCTGATCGGGGAATTTGCTGAGCTGCCAAAAGATAAGTTACTCACCACATAGTTCCTTCGTATCCACGTTGCTTTGAAATAAAGAAAAGAAAGACAGGAAAGAATAAGAATACACAAAATTAGAAGGAGGGAAAGCGGGAGCATAACTGCAAGAAACTGAGAAAAAGTGGAGCCAGAACAAGTTCACTACCAATGTTCAAAGATGTTATATATTGCTGTTCTCAATAAAATGTACATTTCAAAAGCTACACGCCAGGACTTTCACATCAAGCATTCCTGATCCAATTGTAATTAAATACACTGAATTGCACTTTGCACATAGTGTATTTTGCTTTTGTTGTTGTTAACAAATGAATGCAATGAAAGGTAATTAGTGAATAGTAAAGTCTCATTTATGCAGATCATGGAAGGGACAAATAGTACTTTCAGGGTTATGTTTTAGCTGTGCATTCCCTGCCTTAACACAAATTAAATTCTGCAGACAGAATCACACAACTTGATCATATCTACATAGTTTCTCTCATTTTGCATAATATAGCTATTTTGCTAAATTTATTGGTATATTAGCTAGTCACAATGTGGTCTAAATATAAGGAAGAACTTTTTGATGCTAAGAGCTTTTCAACAGTGGAATGGACAATCTTGGAAGGTAGCAGGCTCTCATTAGAGTTTTTTAAATGGAGGTAGGCTGACCATAATTCAGAGGGTTTTTTAGTTGTGATTCCTGCATTGCAGGTGGTTGGACTGACAATTCTATGTTTTTAAGAATTGTCTGAAATGCCTTATCCAGCTGCCTCCTTGACTTCTGAAATTTCATCAATTTCATCATTGTCCACATCTTTTCAAGTCTCTTTTTGCAACCAGAGGGTGAAAACACACACTCTGGAATGCAGAGGCAGTAATGACCTTTAAATGCCTCTTAAAAGCATATATATCTACGCAAGCTTTCCTGGACTCTGCCTCTTAATTTTTCATTCTGTTTTGAACACTGCTGATTTTATCTGTGGAATATGTGTTTTCTGTTTTTCTTACATTTTTGGAAATTTTATTGCTTCTTATCTGTACTTTTAAATGTAAACCACAGAGATCTTTTTATTATTATATTAAACTGTATGTTTTTTAAAAATATATATTTTTATTGGTTTTTAGCTTACAAAATTATAAAACATACCTCAGTTTATCACAGATACATTCTTATTTGGACTTCCATCAGCACCTCTGATAATCCTCTGTCTTCTTATGCCTTTCTTAACTTAATATTGCCATTAAATCTTTTAACATATCATCTCTCTTTTTCCATTTTTACAGTATTTCTAATATTACTCCTCACAGAACTTCTTGCAAACCTACAAACGTCGTCTGATCATCACAAAGTATGTTTTTAAATGAATAAACTTTTTCTAAAAAAGAAAAGAAAGCTGAGATTCTTAGGAAGCTGGTTTGTGGATTTTGCTGAATTTCATCTTTGTTTTCCTGCGCTACTGCAGAATTATGTCATATGTGCACCTCTGGGTTATGGGTGCTGCTAAAACAACATTTGAACTTTGCTCTTATGGCGGTTATACCCTGAGCATGGAGCTGTCCAAGGTCCTATTAAAATCTTGCCTTTGTACTGCTGTAATCATCTCTCAAAACAGCAAGCAATGAGTCACAATACAGAAATGCCTCTCTGGCTGCACTGCTTTAGAGTTCCTTAGTTCATTTAGTCATTCATTGAGTCATCCTTCATCATCAAGATCTTAAGGTAGCTTATAGCAACTAAACAATAAATACAACAAAACCACATAAGCATTAATGGGAATATTGAAGGCAAACTATTACATTAAAACCACAGCAGTGCATCTGATGTTGAGCAGCATCAAACATTCCCAAACGCTTAAGGAAAAGAGATGCATCTTAAGGCTCCATTGAAAGCTCAGCAGTTTTGACTCCAATCAAAATTCCTGGGGGATTCCTGGCTGAAGCGCCACCACTAAGAAGACCTTACACTGCAAGACCCATGTGTTTCATCTGTCAGCCAGGGTCCTTCAGCAGACATTAAGGCTGTGAGTGGCAAGCACCAGAGGGGCATGCCTTCAGGTTTCTGGATCTAAAGTCATAACTACATGATTAACAAGCACTAAAGGAGCTATAGTTTCTGGAATGGACAAATTATTCCAGAAAGGTTGTATGTCTGCCGTTCCTTCTAAACAGCATTGGTCAGAGGCTGAAAGAGGGTCTCCTTAGTTCCACTATACCACTGTCTGACATGTGCAATATATATCCTCTTGTCTTTAATCTGTGCTTCCTCTTGCACCTCTGTCATATGCTCATATATGCAGAACAAACCTTCTATGGATGTGCTAACCAGTCTATTTGTCACTGAGAGCCTTACAGCTTTATTGCAAATGCTGCCACTGCCTTGTAAGGCAATAAAAAACCAAAACGCTCCTGCCCTAGAATTTTTATTTTACTCGTTTTATTTATATGCTAGAGAACTGTTTGATTAACTCAGACTCATTCTTGATTTGACTGATGGGTCAAATTTTAAGTGGATTATGGAGAAAGAATAATTAAAAAGCCTTTCATTGCTGGAATTCTTAAGGCTGCTTCATAAATTCAGAAATAGCTTATGGTGCATTCTTTCAGGCTGCTGGCATGGGGTCAATTCCTAGATGCTTCCCCATGTCAAAAATCCCCAGCAAATGAAAACCTTGCTCATCAGGGAAAGAGGTAGCCTAAATTCCTTCTCTCTGTGAGTGGTTGTAGGATTGAAGCCTAAATGTATTTTTTCATAAAGCACAGATTTTTTAATGTGCTGTCTCTCAAAATATGCATTTTAAAATTAATTTTGTTACATGTTTTTGAGACAAGAACTGTGCTAGAATATTCAGGGAAGTGAGGAAGCTGGCAGATAACCAAGTTCTGATTTTCACATCAGTCTGGAGGTGCTGATAATGTCAACTCATTCACAAAAATCAAATTCCTCAAGTATCTCTAAAGCTAAAGGATTAAAGAAAAAGGCTTAACTGTGACTTGAATGTGCCCAACCCAACAGATTCAAAACCCTTGTGTTTTTTATTTTATTTTATTAATACCACCCTTCACTCAAATATTTGTTTTGCTGCAAATTAGGCACAACATCTTTGGCTTCAAAAGAAGTACTATAGGGCCTGATTTAGCAGTAAGTTTACAACAGGGAGACGGAATTTCTGGTCTGCGGGCTTACTCTGACCCACAGGCTGTTTTACTCAAACCTAGGTCCTGAGTCCTAGGTCACATATGATGTCAGATGTGAGAAATTTCACATTTTCTCCCTCTCTCTCTTGGAACTCAAGCTGGGCTGCAAAGGAAAAACATTCAGCTGTATTTGTAAAAGAAGAAAGGAAGAATTTAATGTGTACATAGAGAGCACTCCCAATTAGTTTATGTCACCTGATATCATGGTGATGTCAGGTGATTGACAGGTGGGTAGCCTGCCCACTTGCCATAGTGGCCAACATGGGGTGGGCGAGTTTAGGATTCAGCATGCTTGCCAGATCCTGTTCACCACTCCTGGTTTCCAAGATGCAAGTTACAAAGTTTAAAACAATCCAAGTTTTTTAATTGACCATGCATCTGAAATGCATGCCAGCCTTCCCCAAGTACTCTGCGGGTAGATTTGTCCAACCTGGTGGCCTCCAGATATTGTTAGACTCCAACTCCCATCAGCCCCAGCCAGCATGTGCAATGGCCAGA